TGGCTTATATTATATGTTAATGTTCTTAATTATATTTTATGTTGTTGGCGGCATTGATTGCCGACTGTAAACTGCCTTAAGTCGCCTCCAGGCTGAGAAAGATGGTATATAAATATGGAAATAAATAAGTAAATATTTTCAGTGGGACACAGATATCAATAAGAATGTGTAGCTTGTACAGTGGATAAGTGAAACCGCATAAATTCATGATAAATTCAATAATAAATAAAAAATAAAATTCTTTCTTTTTATTGATAATTGTCTTATGAATGATACCTTTTATTTAGCAATGAGGGTCAGCTATTTATTTATTTACTATATTTCTATACCGCTATTCTCAGCCCGAGGGCGACTCATGGCGGTTTACAGAATGGCACAATTCGATGCCCACAACAATACAAAGATAGTTAAAACATTAAAAACATTTAACATAGATAAAAATTCATTACAAATAACATCAATAAAAACATAATAAAAACATAAGTTCTTCGCATTTCATTACCAATCATTGTCCAGTCACGTCCAACCATTCCGAGTTTATCAGCTACACTGCATTTGGGAAAGCCTGCTCATATAGCCAGGTTTTGACTTTTTGCAAAATGTTAAGAGGGTTGGGGTCGATCTAATGTCTCTGGGGAGGGCATTCCACAGCCGAGGTACCACCACTGAGAAGGCCCTGTCTCTCGTCCCCGCCAGCCGAACCTGTGAAGATGGCAGGACTGAGAACAGGGCCTCCCCAGAAGATCTTACATTCCTAGATGGTTCGTAATGAGAGATACGTTCAGACAGATAAGCAGCTAATCACCTCCCAACAAAGGATTCCCCCAGGCAGTAAGAAGGCAATCCTTGAAATTAGTAGGCCATTAAATGCTAATCAACGTAGCCAATTGCAACATTCACACCTATCCCAAACCGACAAGAGTTCTTTCTCCCACCCTGGATATTCCACAGATATATAAACCCCATTTTCCTTGTTTCCAACAGACCCCTAAACCTCTGAGGATGCCTGCCGTAGATGCAGATGAAATGTCCGGAGTGAATGCTTCTCGAACATGGCCATACAGCCTGGAAAACTCACAACAACCCAGTGATTCAGACCATGCAAGCCTTTGACAAGACATTGAAACTATATACATTGGTTCTGCAGATATGGGAGTTGTACTGTATAGGATTGCAGCCACACAGAGAAATGCTAACTGGAGTCAGCGAGGCATGGAACTCACTCACCCAGTTTCACAGTTCTCCTCTTTCACATCAGATCAAAGGATAGACACAGTGCTAAGAGTAAGCAGCACAGAGGAGCTGGCTTTTGTTTTTGCCATGCCGTTTCAGATTTTATTGCATCCCTGTGGAATTAATTGCACCAGCTCCAGGTTGGCATGAGGGCAACCTGCCAAAATGCCCAGACAATGAAGAGACTTTAGAACCAGCTGTTGAAGTCCACCCAATGAACTTCATGGGAAATGTGGATCTGAACCCAGTTCAACTCTTATTCCACACTCTAACAACTGTATCAAACCGAACACAGGACATGCCAGCTAGCTGAGTTTTCCTTGTAAGGTGCACAGTGGGAGCATTATCTGATTTCATAGCATGAGTAGACTGATGCCAGCGGATCTCTACAAGTTGTTGGAATTCATCGCTGCTCGCCATTAGCCACATTGTATTGTTGAAGGCTTTCATGAAGGCTTTCATGGGTTGTTGTGGTTTTTCCAGGCTGTATGGCCATGTTCCAGAGGCATTCTCTCCTGACGTTTCGCTTGCATCTATGGCAGGCATCCTCAGAGGTTGTGAGGTCTGACCTCACAACCTTTGAGGATGCCTGCCATAGGTGCAGGCAAAATGTCAGGAGAGAATGCCTCTGGAACATGGCCATACAGCCTGGAAAACTCACATCAGCCCATTAGCCACATTGTTCAGAACTGATGAAAAACAAAAGTCCACCAAATTCTGGACAGCCATGGATTTCAGTAACCCACAAACTATTTCAATGACTATTTGTAGCAGCTGATGCACATTAACTCAAGGACACCCTATTATGTACTTTCAAGTTCATCCCATTAGCATGCTAATGTAGATTGGCAGCACCCACACACCTTCCTGCCTTATGCAGACTGAGTCTAACAAAAGAAGCCTATGTTATACACACTGGGATTTTCTCAAAATCTCTGGTATTCAAAGTTTAGCAGTTGAATGGGAATGCTCAGAGCTCTAGATCAGGCATGAGCAAACTTTGGCACTCCAGGTGTTTTGGACTTCAACTCCCACAATTCCTAACAGCCGGTAGGCTGTTAGGAATTGTGGGAGTTGAAGTCCAAAACACTTGGAGGGCTGAAGTTTACCCATGCCTGATCTAGATGCTGCTGGACTAAAACTTCAAGCGTGCTACATCACTGGCTAGCCTGACTGGTGCTGATGGGAGTTCTGGTCTAACAACACCAGAGAACCACACAAATCTAATTTGGCTCAACTTTATGCCAACATGAAACCAAATCCATTCCCTATGCAGTTCCCTATGCTTGCACCCTGCCACCTCTTTCAGACTGGCTGCCCATTGGCAAGGAAAGAGGGCAGGAAGTCAATCCAGAAGCGCCAATGTTTGCTACTGTCTTGCTTTTGGTTGGCAATCCTCTTGGTTTGAAAAGTAAGACCACAAAAGAGGTGGAAGTGTGCCTGCCTGAGCCCCAAATGAACTGCTCTATTATTATTATTATTATTATTATTATTATTATTATTATTATTATTATATTTAGGAGCCTCCAGTGAAGCAGTGGGCTAAAGTGCCAAGCTGCTGAACTTGCTGACCGAAAGGTTGGCAGTTTGAATCCGGAGAGTGGGGTGAGCTTCCGCTGTTAGCCCCAGCTTCTGTCAAACTAACAATTCGAAAACATGCAAATGTGAATAGATCAATAGGTACTGCTCTGACGGGAAAGTACCGGCGCTCCATGTAGTCATGCTGGCCACAGGACCTAGCAAGTGTCTACGGACAACACCTGTTCTTTGGCTTAGAAATGGAGTTGAGTACCACCCCACAGAGTCAGACATGACTAGACTTGATGTCAAGGGGAAATCTTTCCCTTATCTCCCTGAAGGGGACTCAAAGCTGTGTACCAAGACCCCTTTTTAGACAGGCCCTATATCCCAAGATCAGATCAGATCCCAGGTTTTCTGTTTTGCCCAGATTATCTGGCAGTATGGACTCATCTAATCCAGTTTGAAGCAGAAAACCTGGGTTCAGATCCTGGGATATAGGGCCTGTCTGAGGGTCCTTCCACACAGCCATGTAACCCAGAATATCAAGGCAGATAATGCACAATATCTGCTTTGAACTGGGTTATCTGAGCCCGCATTACCATATATTTATTTATTTATTTTTATTACATGCGTTTCTACCCTGCCCTTCTCCCCCCAAAGGGGGACTCAGGGCAGCCTCACATAAGCATCATATGATGCTGTCAACATATTAACAACAAGGGTTACAAATAATTAAAACAATAAAAATCATTCAAACACATTATACAGATACATGACCAAGCTCGTTAAACAATAAATTAAGATGCCAGGTAAAACCAAGACCAAGTTGGATAAATCCAATATCACATATGTCCTAACTTTGCTTCCTATTGTTGCCATGCACTCATTGTTTTATACTGTTTATACTGTTTTATATTGTTGTTATTATATTGCTGTTAAATTGTGTATCTATGTTTTTGATGTGGGTGCCATGGGGTGCCGATTTGTTAGCCATCCTGAGTCCCTCTGCGGAGGTTGAGATAGGACGGGATATAAAAGCCCGAAATAAATAAATAAACACCTGGTCCCTAAGCCAGGTCTTCAGTTGTCTTCTAAAGGACAGGAGGGAGGTGGCCATCCTGATGTCCTTAGGGAGGGAGTTCCACAGACAGAGGGCCACTGCCAAAAAGGCCCTGTCCCTCGTCCCCACCAACCGTGTTTGTGAGAGTGGTGGGATCAAGAGCAGGGCCTCCTCTGACGATCTTAAGCTTCGTGATGGTTCATAAAAGGATTTCATTCAGCTGTGTGGAAGGGGCCTGGAGGGGCCCCAAGTTCACCTTCCCTCTCCATCCTTCCAAACGTCATGCCTTTCTTCATCACCAGGGCAACTTTCCCAGCAATTAGGAAACTTAGGGCCTTTCCACAGTATGCCAGAATATCAAAGCAAAAACCCTACAATGTCTGCTTTGACCTGGGTTATCTGAGGGCCCTTCCACACAGTCCTATATTCCAGAATATCAAGGCAGAAAACCCTACAATGTCTGCTTTGACCTGGGTTATCTGAGGGCCCTTCCATCCAGCCCTATATCCCAGAATATCAAGGCAGAAACCCCACAATATCTGCTTTGACCTGGGTTATCTGAGGGCCCTTTCACACAGCTCTATATCCCAGAATATCAAGGCAAAAAAATCCCACACTACCTGAGTGTGGACTCAGTTCAAAGCAGATCTTGTGGAATTTTCTGCCTTGATATTCTGGGATATAGGGCTGTGTGGAAGAGCCCTCAGATAACCCAGTTCAAAGCAGATCTTGTGGGGTTTTCAAGTTCGTGGCAAGGATCTCGGTCCTAGATCTTGCTTGAGAGAGATGGGGGGAACTTGATCCGGGTTGGGAACTAGATTCCAGAGAGTTGAGAGGTGGGGAGAGAGGTCGGAAACTTTCTCAGAGGCAAGAGTCGGCTTCCCAGGAAGCCATGCCGGGACATGGCCTGGGTCGGGAAAAGTAACGGTTTAAGGGGAGACAAAAGGGGGGGCAGAAGAGGGAAGGGGAGGGAGATCCATCATTTGGCCCATGCCCAGGGTCTCGTTTATGCCCCAGGGGGGGAAAGATGCCCAACGATGCGCTCAAGGCGGAGAAGGCAAGGCAAGGCGAGATCTTCCCAGGCTCCATTCCCTCGACCTCCCCGACTTCTTGGTGCCTCTCCTCTTGTGGCAATGGCAACCCCAGGAGGCGTCTCCTCCACCCTCCCTCGTGTCCCCCTCCTCACCTCCTCCTGCTCCTCTTCCTCCCGGGAAAGAGAGTGTCTGGCGGGAATCAGGGGCTCCATCCAGGCAGCAGCAGCAGCAGCAGGCGGAGGCAGGCGGAGGGGTCCTCCATGGTGGCTTCCCCGATGCTCCCTCCCGGAGAGGCCCTCCTCCCTCTCGGCCCGCCGCCTCCCTTCCTCTCCTCCTCCTCCTCCTCTTCCTCCGCCACCTCGGGCCACTCCCTGCTCCGAGGCGGAGGCGCATGTGGCTCCTTCCCCAAAGGCTAGCGGGGAGGACTGGGCTCCGGTGCCCTCGGCTCCTGCCCGGCCAATGGCTGGCTGACGGCATCGCGCATCATCATCATCATCCCCGCCGACACCCCTCCCTTCCTCCCTTCCTTCCCCTTCCTTCCCTTCTCCCTTCCCTCCCTTCCTCCCTTCCCTCCCTTCTCCCTTCCCTCCCTTCACTTTTTCTTTCTCTCCTCCTCCTCCTCCTCGTCCTCCCCCCACGCAAAACTCGGGTCCTGGTCCTGGAGAGGAGCCGTCTGGCCCCCGCCACACATGCCTGAAGGACACCTCAGGCTCTCCCACAGGCCACGGAGGAAAGCCCAGATGCCTCTCCCCCTGGCAGCATCCAAGCAGTGGATCCAGATGTTGCCACTGGCTTGGCTACACCACTGCTTCTTCAGCTACCACAGTGCTTCTCAACCTTCCTAATGCTGTGACCCCTGAATACATATTGTGGTGACCCCCAACCATAAAACTATTTTCGATGCTACTTCACAACAATAATTTTGCTACAAAATGAACAAAATCTGGCTACCAATATTAAAAAACTCTAAAATTACAACAGCAAAACAGAGAGGAAACAACCAGGCACATCTTAACACCTCTCAACAGAACATTTTCCCAGGCTCAGCCAGGCCTTCAAATGCTAATGAAGATGATCAGCTGAAACATTCACACCTAGCTTCAGCAGAGAGCTCTTTGCCCCACCCCAGTCATTCCACAGATATATAAACCCATTTTCCTATTTCCAACAGACCTCACTACCTCTGAGGATGCTTGCCATAGATGCAGGCGAAACGTCAGGAGAAATGCCTCTAGAACATGGCCCTATAGCCCGAAAAAAACCTACAAGAACCTAATTTTGCTACTGTTATGAATCATAATGTAAATATCTGATATGAAGGATGTATTTTCATTTACTGGACAAAATTTGCCACGAATACCCAATAGGCCCAAATTTTATTACTGATGGGGTTGGGGAGGGGATTGATTTTGTCATTTGGGAGTTGTAGTTACTGGGATTTATAATTCATCTATAATCAAAGAGCATTCTGAACTCCACCAACAATGGAATTGAACCAAACTTGGTACACAGAACTCTCATGACAATCAGAAAATACTGGAAGGGTTTGGCTGGACATTGACCTTGACTTTTGGAATTGTAGTTCACCGACCTCAAAAGAGCACTGTGAGGCTGTGAGGTCACCATCAATGGTGAGGTAGCCCAGTTGGTTCCCTCATGGATGTTCTCATGGTTGGACATCACATTCTGAACTAGTAACTTCACGAACTGCGCTTTGTCAAGAAGTTATTTGGCAAATGGCAAATCAGAGGAAGCTATTTGGCCAACAAGGCAGTGGTAGTGGCCCTGAGGTGAAATAATGGCAATGGCAAGTTACTTCTCGGGAGGAGAGCAATGTCCGGTCTCGATAAAATAGTAAAGAGTAGAGACATCAGACTGGCAACAAAGATCCGCCTAGTCAAAGTCATGGTATTCCCTGTAGTAACCTACGGATGTGAGAGCTGGACCATAAGGAAGGCTGAGCGAAGGAAGATAGATGCTTTTGAACTGTGGTGTTGGAGGAAAGTTCTGAGAGTGCCTTGGACTGCGAGAAGATCCAACCAGTCCATACTTCAGGAAATAAAGCCGACTGCTCACTGGAGGGAAGGATAGTAGACAAAGTTGAAGTACTTTGGCCACATCATGAGGAGACAGAAAGCCTAGAGAAGACAATTATGCTGGGGAAAGTGGAAGGCAAAAGGAAGAGGGGCCGACCAAGGGCAAGATGGATGGATGGCATCCTTGAAGTGACTGGACTGACCTTGAAGGAGCTGGGGGTGGTGACGGCCGACAGGGAGCTCTGGTGTGGGCTGGTCCATGAGGTCACGAAGAGTCGGAGACGACTGAACGAATGAACAAGTTACTTTGGAGGAAGCCGTTTTGCTGGGGATGCAGCAATGGCTCTGAGGAGACAGGAAGGTAATAAAATCATGAGATTTCCACAAATCGAAAGAGAGCTTCTACACCCAGGGGAATAGCACATGTGGCTTCACCTACTTGCATCTGACAAAGTGTGTCATCCCTAGGAATTTTCCAGGTCCCTATGGTAACTTCAGTCAGAAGTTATTCATTTTAATATAGAGCGATGTTTTCCATATTTCCTTGTTACCATGGTAAGTTCAGGAATGTATTCTCCATGGATATGGGGGCTGTACTGTACACACACACATACCTTTTACTTGTAATTAATTTAGTCTTGCAAGGACCTAACACCAGCTTTGGTGGGAGTCAACCATTACAATAATACAAATTAACGGACAGGAAATTGAATCTCAATGCATTGTCGAAGGCTTCCATGGCTGGGATCACTGGGTTGTTGTAAGTTTTTCAAGCTGTATGGCCATGTGCCAGAAGCATTCTCTCCTGATGTTTCGCCTGCATCTATTGCAGGCATTCTCAGAGGTTGGGAGGATGCCTGCCAGGAGAGAATGCTTCTGGAACATGGCCATACAGCCCAAAAAACTTACAACAACCCAGTGAATCTGAATGCTTTCTTAGAACTGGCAGGCCTTTCCACCTGTCCTCAGCAGAAGGCAACATGATTGTTTTGGGTTGCAGGGAAGGTCCCAGATGGTCCTTCATTCATCCTAGTGGTAGAAGTAGGATTGGTCCTTGACTACTCATAAGTAAGTTCCCAATGAGATAATCTGGTACTGAACCGTGGCCTTCCTTTACTGATTACTTAATTATATTGTTTCTTTAAAAAAACCAAATTTGGTGATCATGCTGTGAGTTTGGCAGTATGCCCAATGAGACCCAGTTTCAAATCCACACACAACAATAAAGTTCAGTGGGTGAATTTAAGCTTCAGTGGATAAGTGTAACTTACCTCAGCGGGTTTTTTTGTGAGGATAACATTGGAAAGAGGGGAGAGTCATAATTGCTGTGCTGATATTCTTTGAGTACTTATAGGTTACAAGCCTAATAAATTTAATTAGGAATTGAATAATTCTGTTTCAATGTCAGTGTTGGAAGCTGTGCTGACAGCATACTGTAGGTCCACATCGTAGGATCCCACTATCAGAAGATGGCTCACATGCAACTTCTCCTGGTATCTCCTGCCATTTTTCATTGACGACAAAAATTGCATCCCCTCTTCGCAAAGCCAGCTGCCTGCTTGACCCTGCTTTCTGTGTTGCAAACAACTCAAAGCTAAACTTACTCACCAGGTCTTTGGTCAGATGTTCCTTCTCAAGAGCATGGAACCCAATGTAACATAAGAGGTGTAGATGAGGCATGATGTAGTTTGGGAGGACAGCTGATGGTAACTAACAGCTTTGTTGTTGGATCTATAAAAATAAAGAAAAATCCGGGGGGGGGGGGGGGGGGGGCGATTGCGTAATTGTTACTTTAAGAACTGAATCATCACAAATTAGCCAGCAAGACTGCAAGGTCACCACCTCTTCAGCTTGGTCATTCAGCAAAGTCAGACTCAGGGAGGGAGATAGGATGCAAGTAAGCTGGAAAGGCCAGATCCCATCTATACTTTGTATATGCAGTTTGTGCTTCTACTTCTCATGCACTTTAAGCAAAACCTGAAGTGTGTTGTGCATGGCAGTCCTACGCATGATGTTCATTGAGAAGGAACCAACACACTCTTGCATGTTGGTTGGAAATCCCATTAGTCAATGGGATTGCAAAAATAAAGAATAAGAGAAGCACAGTATTGGATCAGACTGCAAGTCTATACTCTAATGCCCAGACAGATGTCAATGGAAAATCCTCAAGGAGAACATGAAGGCAATCCAGATGCAGTGTTTTCTCAGCAAGACCAGTAATGGCTGATGCCTCTGATGTCAGTGGAGTATTCAATCTACTCTTGCTTGTACTCCAAATTTTAACCCAGGATAGAAAAATCCTACTTTCAGCACATTGGACAGACTTTTAAAAGTTTTGGCTAAACCTCAAAGCTGATTTATCACTAACATGAAAACCACTAGACATTACTTCTACCAATTCCCTCATCACAGGAGGCAATATATAACCATCATGACCATGAATACAATCCCATTTTAGAAGTACATCTAAATTGGTGGCATTACCACAGCAATCCTGTAGCTGAACTAATGGCCACCTTATCTGGAAGAATGCATTTGTGTCTTCTAGCGAAATACATTTGTTGCTGTCCAAGCATAAGAGTCAGTGTAGTTGTTTGAGTGTTGGACTATGTCTTTTGAAACAAGGGTTTGAATCACCACCAGTTAAGGTTTGATGAGCCATACGCTCTCAGTACTATACAATCTCCCAGAATACTTGTTAGGTATATGAACAAACACAAAAAATCTATGGAAGGAGAAAGTATAATATCCAAAGAGCACATAATATACAATTTTACCAAAAAAACCCAGTACACAGCTCAATTCGGAATTACTACAAGCAGAGTCAATTCTTGTAAAGCTATCAGACACTCTATATGAGTCTAGAGTTGCTGAACATATCAACTCCTGAAGAAGGGGATTTCTTCCCCCAAAACAGGGCACAAAAATACCTGGGCACCCCTGTTGATGCTATTTGGACTTTTCTCATGAAGACATTTTTTGAGAGCGGTGCTCCATTGTCACTGGACTTTACTTGGTTTTTACCCATGAAGACATTTTTGAGAGCGGTGCTCCATCTTCATCATTATTTTCTCCATATAGCCTCATGACTCATTGTCTGCTCACTTCGTCTAAAAGGTTTTTTAATTGAACAAGTATTCCTGCAACCTATATACATTGGGATCTATATCAGACCTAGAACTACTATGTTTGAGAGTGGCTGCTCCTTTTCATTTTGCTTTATGCCACTGAATTGAGCTGTGTACTGGGGACTTTGGTAAAATTGTATACTATATGCTCGTTGGATATTATACCATACGCTTTCAGTCCCAAGAAACCCCATAATAAGGTCATCCTAAATCAGAAATGACTTGCGGACACACAACAGCAAGAACAATAACATAAAGGATATTAGCTCTTATCAAAGGCTTTCCTTGGATCTTCTCATAGCAGCTGTGTGAG